ATTAGTAATTTATTTTTATATAAACAACCAGAAATAGTCGAAGTAGCATTTTTAATGGAATGTGAATAATTTTTTTTTGTACAGTAACATTTTTTTTAAGACTAGTATAGTAACATAATTCATATAATTTTATAATCATACTTAAATTTGGATACTTATTGTTTTATTTATAGCTGTAAACAACACGTTTTACTCTTTTGTCAAAATATTTAAATTTAAAAATCATCTAATACTTTCTTTTTTTTGTGTAAATTGACCTTGCAAATGCAAATTTCTAAGGTAAAGAACCTTTTCTTTTTGACAGCTCTGAACCGAAGAACTTGGTGGCTAAGAAATTGTTGTAAGTAGGAAACTTATGAAAATTAATTGTTATTATGAAGTTTAAATTTATCTACTTTTTTTATTATAGACTTTACATAAACAAGTTAAATGATGGGTTATTTGCCAGTTAATTTTAGGTGGACCACCAAATAAATGATTCGTGATTACACCACTATTTTGGAAAGTATTTTTTTAGAATTTTCATTATAAAATTATGCAAGCAATTATTTACCAAAATTCACACTGTTTGATTCATTAGAGATGACTAAGAAATAGAAGTGAGAGACGAGGAAATGGTGCGACGAAATTATTCAAGCGATTTGTTTCGACAAAAATGAGTTAGAAGAGAAATAACGAAGAGATAAATGGTAAAGAATAGCCTTTACACTTTTACCTTTCATAAATAAGTTTCTCTTTGAGTTTCTACTCTTTTCATTCTCTCTTTATTCAAATAAAAGGCCACTTTATTCAAATGTTGAGTGATTTTTTTTATTTAAGTAAAGTGTAAACTTATTTGAATCAGGAAATTTTTATTTAAATAAAAGTTCACTTTATTTGAATGCATGATGAATGATAACTCTTTTATTTGAATACAATGCGAGCTTATTCAAATGAGAGGCTTTTTATTCGAATAAAATAGTACTTTATTTGAATGCATGTTGAATGATAGCTAGTAATTTAAATATTTTATATTTTGAAGTTAATTAAATATGAAATTTAAATTAATTAATTGATAATTTAATAAATTTAAATATTTATATTTTGTAGATAATTCAATAAATTTAAATATTTTTTATTTTGTGATGTTATTTAAATTAATAATTGAATATTAATTTGTCAATTTTTTTGTTAGTTTGGTACACTAATTATTATTGATTTAATTTAATTTTATGTGTCAAAGGGTTGTGAATAAAGAGAAATAGTAATTTAGAAAATATTGATGTACATGAGAAACATATTTTAAGTATTAAATTTAACTTTTAATCATCTTTACGCTAGTATTGCATTGTAAGTGTAAACATACTTTATGTATTTTTACTATTTATTTTAATTAGACTATATTAAATCTAAATATCTTTGTTGTACACTAATAATATATAAACATTAATTATACTATAGAAATAATTATATATAAACCGTTAATAATCGTGAGACCCTGTTCATATATTCTTTCTCCCTACTCACTTCACTCTTCTCATTTTCTCCCTCTCAACTCACTTTCTCTTAATTCTCCTTTACTCTCTCTTTTCCCTGTTTCCTTTTTTCTCTGATCTTGGGTGGCAGTGGTGATCTTAGGAGCTGAGTAATGGTGTTGGATTGCTAGCTGAACCGTGCGAAGCTCCTCTTCAAGCTTCTTCTTCTCCCTTCTCTTCCCAGAGCTCGGAATCGTCTCACCGAGGTAGGGGAAGTTAGTTTTCTTGTTGTGGTTTGGCTGAAATGAGTCTAAGAACTCGTGTGGTTGATTTTGATTTCGGATTCTTGGATGTTTGGGTGGCACATTGAGTTTTTGGGGACTTTGGGGTTCATGAGAAATTTGGGTTTTTCTTGATTGTTACATGCATGGGTGAAAAGATAGTATTTTTGGACTCTAGGATGAGAATGTGGTATTTTGGATGGTTTGCATGTTGGATTGCTGGTTGTTTTCGCAGGTTTTGATGAGATTTTCGAAGTAGGTGAGGGTTCTCGTTTGAATTTGCGCCGGGCGCAGTTCTTCGCGCTGGGCGCGACTTGAAATGGGAAGTTTCTGGGTTAACCGCACCGGGCGCAATAGACCTCTGTAGGTCTCTGGTTGAGGATTAAGCCGGGCGCTCTTTTAATTCGCCGGGCGCGCATTTGCTTTTCAGAATTTGACTTTATAGTCTTCATGCAAGTTGTAGCCTTGGATGTTAGCTTTCCAATGGCGCTGGAATCACTCAAAAAGGAGTTTTAGAACTCTAGATATGGCTGTTTTAGTGAAGAGGGGTCGAGCTGCTAGCTTTGTTTATAACTGTTGCGTTTTTATCATTTTTAACATGATAGATGAAGGAATTAAGACTTGGTGTCTTCAGGAGAGTTGTAGGAAATTTGATTATCTTTCATATGAGATAAGGATGAGCATGGTAGGAGTAGTATAACTCCTGATGCGCTATTTGCTGTGATAGTTGCCATTTCACATTTAGTGATTTAGTTAAGTTGAAAGTTGTTTTAGGTGCTTAGGTGTACTCTTGTTGTTTGGGTGAGTAATTTGACAAGATAGATGAGTTGTAAACAAGATGGTTGGGTCGCATTAGGTGTTGATCATGTTGTTTTAAGCTGTTAGTGATGAATGATTATTGAGCTGAATGATGATATTGATGTGCTGCGCTGAGCGCGACCCTTGTCGCGCTGGGCGTGAGACTCCTTGGGAGTCTCTGCCTCGAGGGCGCTGGGCGCAATTTGGTTTGCGCTGGGCGCGAGACCAAGGGAGGTCTCTACCTTGCCTGCACTGGGCGCAGGTTGGGGCATGTCGAGCGTGTGAGACTCCTTGGAGTCTCTGCCTGGCCTGCGCTAGGCGCAATTGGGTATTGCGCCAGGCGAGAGAGAGCTTTGGACTCTCTGGCTAAGTCTCGCAGGGCGCAGGCACGCTTGCGCCAGACGCGCTGGCCCCTGAAGCCCTCTGGTTGTGCCACGCCAGGCGCAACCATGAGTGCGCCGGGCGCGTATGAGGATGTGAAGTTATATGCTGAAATTTGCTGATAATATTATTTTATGCTGAACTAAGCCGAAATTGATGAATATGATGCGATGACTAGCTGAAATTGCTATTTGAGGATGTTGAGCTGTGTTAGGTGTATATTGCTGTAAGATGCTTAGAAGTGCTGTAAGACGATAGGCTATACTATTAAGCTAAGCTGTGCTGAATGTTGTTTATGCTGATTAATGTTGCCAATGCCGTGTGATGAAAAGTTGTGTTGTGCGGTATGTTGTTAATAATGTAACGCTGAGTTGTGATATGTGATGCTAATGCTAAACTTTATTGTTTGAGTCGAGCTGAATTATATGCTGATAGTTGTTGAATTATGTTGTAATTGCTGAGTTGAGATGTAATTGATAAATATGTTGTGCTGACTAGATGTAAATGCTGAAAAATGATGTTAAGCTGTAATAGATGTATCTCGCTATGCTGAGCTGGACTGTTATTGATGATTTTAAATGCTGATTTATAATATGGCTGTGCTCTAGAATGATGAGTCGAGTTGTGAGTAGTAAGCTGTGTTGAATACTACTTAGTTGTGCTGTATGCTGATTTTGGTGTTGTGTTGTGCTGTGAGCTATTTTGCTGTGCTGTTTATTGCTGAGCTGTATGCTGTGTTTAGCCACTATTGTGGTGCTGTTATAGCCGCTATGTCGGTGCTGTTAGCCACTATTGTGGTGCTGTTATAGCCGCTAAGTCGGTGTTGTGCTCCGTGCTGATAGGAGCTGTTGTAGGCCGTAAGGCTAAGCTGTTGTAGGAGATCTCCGAGCAGATATGCGTGACGACGCATTGTGTGTTTACTACTATTTATCGATGTGTACTGTTGTTATTGTTGAATGATGTGAGATGTGTGATGTTATAGATATATATATATATAGCTGATGTTGTTAAGCTAATTGATGTTCTGATAGCTGTAGCTGTTTACTATTCTTAAATTTATGTATATGTATGTTGTTTCTTTCACTAGCTTACCCTTGTTGTTTCCATGTGGTTTGGACTGCAATGATCATACTATGTATGGGAGCAGGGCAGGGATAGGTTGGTGGCTTGTGGCAGGTCTGTAGCTAGCAGATAGAGCTTACTTCTTATGGATGTTTTGGTGTTTTTGCTACTTGGTGTAGTAGCTCTGGATGTATTTTTCATTTTGAATCTAGTCAGACTTGGACATGTATATATGTATATTCTAGACACTATATGTATGCACTTGTTCTTTTCTGTCCGGTTTCAGGTGTACAGTGTGGTGTGTAGTGACCAGTCGGGTCGTTACAATAATTATATACTAAAAATGATTTATCATTAATAATTATAATTAATAATTAACATTAATTATAAATAACATTTTTATTGGAATAAAGTCATTGGAAATGATTTTATTCAAATAAACAATATATTTATTTGAATAACACCACTCTGGAGAGACGATTTTATTCGAATAAACTTGTGTATTGAATAAACAACACAATTTATTCAAATTTGAATAAAACTGTTGCTTATGGAAATAAATTTTTTTTTTCTGAAAAAGTAATATTGTAATTTTATTACTAATTATATCTTTATTTTCGTTTTTTTATGAATTCAAGTGAAACAACTACATAATATTATTCCTGAAAACATGTTCTCCAAAGGATTGATTTTTTTTTTTTTAGCAGGAATTTCAGTCAATAAATAGTTTCGTTGTATATTTGTCTTTGAAAAATGAAGTTGTGGGCTGTTTTTTTTTTCCAGAATTTGATGCAATGGTTAGCGTGAACATAATACAATTAGAAATTAAAAAAGAACGAAATCATTTTATTTCTCTCGTCTTGAAATGGTGCGCCATTCTTGCACAAGAGTCCAATTCAAATTTATTAAAAAAAATATTTTCCTTATTAACTTGATGGGGATTGTTTTGGCTGTTCAGTTTTACGTTGATTCTATTTCGTAGCGAGAAAAGGTGCGGAGAAAAGCGACGAATGAAGGAAGGTAATACACAAGAAATGAGAATAATGAATTCAAGAATTTGAAATACTATAATTACAGGAAATATTTGGAATCATAATAATTGGAGCCAACATCTAAGACGACTCATGTTAGATCTATCAGTCATAGTGGTAGATAACAAGTTATTAAAATGACAAAGCTCTAGCGAATAATATATCAAAAAGGAAAGGAAAAAACTGGTTACAACTACTTAAAACTGTAACTGCGCTCAAGTTTATGTTGATTTAGCACCTAATCCAAGCCAAGACATGGATTCACCCGCCTTATTAGAAGCAGAGTTGGGACTGTTTGTTTGATATGGCGCTTTGGCAGCAATTCTGCAAACAGCATAAAAAAGGAACAAAATTAATCTATTAGGTCACAACAACAATTTTCAGAGGGTATAGTTTTGAGTATAATTGCAACATGAAAAGAGGAAAATCAATTCGCACAATGCACAGGATAAATCCCTTCTTTACTAACAAACTAACACGATGCATCAGTTCCCATGACACAAAAACCAGACATAAACATACCACAAAAAGGTCAGACATTCACTACACAAACTGGTTGGTAGTGCGATTGTTTCAAATGATCAATCACTAGTAGAATGGTAAAAGATTATTTTTGAAAAGAATTGAAAGATGCAGACATCTGATGCCCTGACTAAATTGTGAATCAATTCAGTTTTTTTTTTTTATGCATATGAGAAACAGCAGAAGGGCTTAAAATTCATTATAAACAGAAGAAGATTCACCAAAAAAATATTTCCTTGTTTGAGAGGCATACCTATCTTTTCTCTTCTCAAGGAACCGATGAAGTGAAGCTTTCCTAGCAATTGGAAGATCTGTATAGAAATGAAAATTATGATCAGAAAAAACATGATCCATGACACAAAAGTATATACTTTGATCATCTAATAAATAGTAAAGATCAAAAGAAATTACCACAAGCAATTGGTCTGGATGGTGTTTGAGGGGTGATATTAGGAACAAACGAAGGATGACTCCCTTGCTGGTTATGAGTGTGAACATATGCAGATGAGTTCTGGCCTTTTTGGGGTGTTCCCTTGCTGGCCAATGACATTATCTCCTCCACTTTATCAGCAGG